CTAATGGTGCATTTGCAGTCTGGCTTCTGGCCCTTGGTCGTGCCTCCTCATCAGTGTGGGTTTTGGTCTGCTTTCTGCGTGGATGTTTGGTGGTGACATCCTGTGTGGCTCTTGTGAGTGTGGGTCTGGTGTCATTCCTCAGGTTAGGGCCTCGTTGATCAATAAGGGCAGGCTTCCAAATGGCTGGCAGGCAGGAGGTTTCGTCCCGCCTGTTCATGCTGTGTGGGCGTTTTTCTATCTCGATGGCTTCTCCGATTATTCTGTTGTTAAAATGTTGAATGAGACTTCGTCGAAACGTCGTCAAGACACCTCCAATTTTACGCGGAAGACCCGAATAACAAAAGACCTCCATACTAACACCCGCGAAAACCTCAGAAAACATACATACATAGATACATATATATACATAGATACATAGATACATAGATACATAGATACATACATATATATATATATATTAGATTTTTAGTGTACATATATACATACACACACACACACATGTCTTACAGTATTAAGATGCTAACAACATAGAGTAATTTAATAGCATTGAGCAAGAAGGCAAGACAATAGGAATAATGTTCACATTGAATACAATTAATATTTGAGATTCCCCTAATTTAAAGAAGATAGGACAAAAATATGAACAATGTATTTATAAACATTCTCAGCCATAGGAGCTAAATAGAAACATTCATATTGGGAAGCAATACATTTCCAACTTTCCAGAGATGACTATTTCATTTCCTATATATTTGCTGCTGCCAAATACCTTGGTAATTTCTCTTAGAAAAGAGAAAATGGATCCTTGCCATTTAGTCCAACTCTTAAGATTGATTAACATGACTGAACCTGAAGAGAAGAGTTAGAACCAGGAAATGTTTCATTTTGTTATTTTTTGCTCAAAGCAAGAAAAATTCTTTGCCATATTTTATACTTTGAGATTCAACTGTTCATATTCTTTTAAAAAATGCTAGTCATGAGGAAAATGCAGCAGGGTGGGATCTAATTGTCTATCAGATTATTTTTATTATTCCTTCTTGATACCTAACAAACAGCTTGTATCATGTGGAAAATAATGCCTGTTACTTTTCTCTACTTGAAGATCTATACTATTTTATAATACTAAAACTTCACACCAGTACTACTAATATTGTTGTATATGTAACATTGAACTGTGTATAATTTTAGAAAACTACAAAACTTTTAGTATTACCTATAATGTTCTCTTGCATCATCTAGAGCTAGTTGCCTGAATTCTTCATACATTTTCTTATTAAAGTGGTCTCTGAGAAAAAAGGACCAAAAACGAAAAAGTGTATTCATTTCTTGAGACTGGCCAATTCCCAACCGTTTCCTTTCTAGAGATGAGAGGAGGGAGGGAAGAAAGATAATAGTATGAAGTAACCTGTTTAGAATTACAGTATATTTCCTCTAATTGACAAACAATTTATACTAAAATATATTATAAATGTAACAACATAGCTAATAATTTGAAAATAATTATCTGAATGTTAAAATCATGTATCACATTTATGACTGTGTTAAAATTAATATTCTAACAAGGTCAGTAATTCAAAGCTTGTGATTTATTGACCAATGAACTTTTAAAAATTTCATTACCATGTGCTTAAAAAAAAACCTTAGTAGCATTATGAGAGAAATAGAAAAGAGCATTAGAATGTAGTGAAGCAGGAGGTGTGAAATAATCTTTATTCACCTAGTGTATTTTACAACATTTTGTTGAAATGAACTTGCTCCAATTTTTGTAAATAGTACAACACTATTTACTTTACACTATTTACTCATACAACACTCTATGAGGGAGATAAATGCTTTCTAAATATGTTAAATAAATAAATATAATAAAATATGTTCTTTCTTCCAATTAAAAATGACAAATATTAGATTTTTACCATTTAGGCATCTACGGCGGTATTTATGGTACACTTGCTGAGTAAAACCATTTTCCTTCAGCAGTTCATGAGAAGGATGTTGAAATTTAGGAAGTGAATGTGGGGTACATCCATAACTTCCTGATAGCGGAGCACCTTCTAGTGGTGATGCGTTTGAACTGCTATGTGAAATGAAACAAACAAGTCTCAGTTTTTTTTTCCAAAAGTGCCTTTTGTAACACTATAAGAAACATAATTCAGCAGCTTGTTTCAATTTCTAACATTAACAGTAGTCATTTCACAAAACGTAATGTTAAATTGAACTTTCAGAATGAGCATACAATTATGTCATGTTTATATGAATGGGGTTTTTTCCCCATCCTACCGTGTACAGTTCTTGGAGATTGCCTGGCAAAGCCTTGAGATTTTCTTGGCAAGGTCTTTCACAAGTGGTTTGCCATTTTATCATCAGGGTTAAGAGCTAAGAGAAAGTGACTTTGCTAAGGTCATGGCTTTGTGCCTAAGGTAGGAGTAGAACTCATGGTCTCCCAGTTTCTAGCCTGATATCTTACCCTCTACACCAGGGGTGTCAAACTTGCAGCATGTGGGCCAGATGTGTCACGTGCTGGCCATGCCCACCCTCAGTTTAGTGAAAGAAAAAAAAGTGACAATACGTCACATGATGACGTGACGCCATGAGTTTGACATCCCTGCTCTACACCAAATTGGCTTTCTATGTGAGCATTTACCTGTGCCCAAAAATGGTAGAACATAGAAAGCTACTATCAGTAATATGGTTACATGAGAAATATTTTTCCCCTTTCCCAACATGGTTGCGTTCCACTCATAGGGCACCCTCAACTTACAATCATAATTTAGCCCAGAAATCATGACAATCATTAAACAGGTCACACACCCAATTTTTATAACCATTTTTGTGAAAGTCATTAAGTAAACATCATGGTCATTAAGCGGATGTGGCCTTTAAATAAGTCCAGTTTCCTCCATGGTTTTTTTTTTTTTTTTTTTTTTGCTGGAACCTGAAGTAAATGCTTGAAACCAGCAAAATAAGCCAAAAATCATAATCATGTTTCCACGGGATGGTGCAAATGGATCTACGTGTGCGCTGGTTGCCAAGCTCCAAAATGAGTCCACGTGACCGCATCTCTCTTTCTCTCTGTCTATCTGTCAGAACTTTGAAAACAGCTTATAAGTGGCAGTGGAAACATCTGTCATAATTTCTGACAGTCACTAAGCAACTGGTCATTAAGTGAAGACTACCTGTAATACTTTTAATATGGGAAAACTTTAGGACAAGAGTCCCCAATCCCCACACAGTTGGGAACCAGCAAGCACGCAAAGATTCATTTGTGCATAAGTAGGATCTAGACTGCAGGCAACCATTGACCCCCGCCACTTCTGCTGCCACCATCGCCCCCAGTCTGTGAACCTAGAAGGGTTGGGACCATTGCTTTAGGATACAGGTGTCAAATTTGTGGCATTGTGATCATGTGTCTGGCCCGTGGGCCGCTAGTTTGACACCCTTGATTTAGGACATGCTATCAGTTACCTGTATTCTATCACAGCATACTTCTCTAAAAACTTTTCTGAACATACAAATCTATTGATTTTAAACATTTCAAAACATTAAGGTTATAAGAACTCATGAGAACTACTTTGAGATAAAGGCTATAAAAATCTTAAAAGTTAGTCTGCTAGTCACTGACTGTATTTAGTGGTTAGTCATATGTTCTATTCAAGCTATTATGTAACCTTTTTCTTGAGATAGCTCATTTCTTTCTTACTTTGATTAATATAATTTTAGATAATATTTATAATTAATCAGATTAAAATAATTCATGAGTATTATTGCAAGATATAACACAAGCATAATAATGAAAAAAAAATGAAATGGTTTAGCAAAAATACAAGTTTCCAGAACACGGGCCGGGGGGGGGGGGAATTCATGTGGAGGTTTTTAAATTTTCATTGGAAAACTTTCCAATGCAAATTAGCATATGCATCTAAAATGTGCGCCATCATCAATTATATGGACTGGGAAATTTTCCACTGATTTTTGCAATTCACAGTAGCTTGATGAAGACTTTAAAATAATTATAAATATTTTAAAATTAATAATACTTATTAGTCTTGATTGCTGTAGTTACCAAGTTTGAAACTAATAGTGACTTACACAAAAACAATTCCCAGAAAACCCTGAAGTATATACAAGAACAAGATTCTTGAATGCAATTAATCTGTGACCATTGTGATATTACATTAGTTCCAAACAAAATGAAAATGTTTGATCACACTGATTATAACTCAACTGCCACCTTCAAAATTTCCGATACCAATGAACTTGTAATGAAAATCAATATCTATAATCATTTCATTACAAAATAACAACATCCATAGCTATGTGAACTAGTTATAGTTCACATTCTCCTTACATAATTTATAATCACAAGCCATCGTAAATTTTATGTTACAAATCTCAAATATTAATATTAGAGTTTGTGGAAATTTATTTTTTACTTTGGTATTTTTTTTATCCAGGAGGTGATGTACAGTTTTGTTAGTTTTACTTTAACATTCCTTTACCTTAACAATTGATAAAAGTTGTGTAAAATGTACAGGAGCAGTGGATGGGGTGAGATGTTGGCACTTACTTAAATGTGCAAGGTGATTGGGGGATTTAACATCTATTTTTCTTCATTTCTTTAACTGTTCTGGGTGAACACAGCTTTTTTTTTACAATGTTTTGTGGAGTGTCCATGGGACATATGTGATCAATGCAGAAAATAATTAATTCTCTTCTGTTGTGAAAAGCATTTTAGAAATAAGTGATAAGTAAGGGGAAAAAAAGAATCAAAGAACCCTTTACCTGTTTGTATACCTAATAGTGTAAATTTTCAGTCTTTTAAAGAACACACCAAATGAAGGGTGGAAAAGAAATTAACAAATGTCACATTTCATTTTTACTAGTTTTATAACGGCCACAGATTCAACTGGGGAAATAACACTCAAACTTATTTCTAGCAATATCCTTGGTCAAATCTTGAATATATTTTTGATTATATGGCTTTTAGATAAGTCACATCTTCCACTTTTTCATATTTTGAAAGACCAAGTAATTAAATTAACTTCATCAGTGATTATAAGAACACACACAAATTAAGACTATCAATACATAATAAATTATTTCTACCTTATGGAAGATGTTCTTGGTCTGTGATCCTTGGAATCCATTACCCAGCCAACATGGCTTTCTAATGGAGGGTTGGTACTATGCCGTGTTTTTCTTTTCCTTCGTGTCTGAAATAAAATATAGCATTATATTTCCCTGGTGTGACTGGAGCCACTTTTCTGAAGAATCAGTCTAATTAAAATCCAGTTTCATAAAATTTCACTTTACATATCATATACATTATGAGGTCATAAAGTTGGTTATGGCTGACTACACAACTACTAGTCTTAACCAATGCATTTCAAAAGAGATTTAGCAGCTTTGACCTAGCAAGGAATGTTTCAAAAACTGCTCTCTGGAGGTAATAGCAATAATTAACTATGATCCAGAAATATATTTTGTTTTGGTTACCCCAACATCAATAATTCTTGCTTCTTTAACCACAGGATAGAATCTTGGTGTTTTGTTAGGATCTTGCAGTCTTGGTGTACGAGGTGTTTTAGGTGTTCTGGTAGGGTGAATTCCAAGAGATTCAGGAACAGCTGTTGGCAGTGAGCGAGCCATTGTTGTTGGAGGTATTTGCTGGACACCAAACAGTTGAAAAGCCAGCTCTTCAGTAACATCTGATTAGAAACACCATATGATTAATACATGTCTGTATACATGTTTGATCTCAATAGCACTGTTCTATTTCACTGGGCCCATTTTTATTTATTCTTCTCTTATTTTTCATGTTTCTGATATCCTTTATATATTCAACTTTTTTCATCATGTGTAATATATCACCAGATATTAAAGTTTAAATTAAATTAAGTTGAGATTAAATTTAAAAGGAACAAAATAGATAATGAAAATTACAAAAACCATACATTTATTACTTCACATTTATGTTCTCTAATTATGTACTACCATGAAATATTCTATGTACCTGCTGAAGTGAAATGCAGCTTGTGAAAGTTTATGCCTTTTTATAAAAGTTACAATTGGAAGATATTCTTATTTTTTTGCTACCATAAATTAACATAGTTTACCTCCTATTTTATCTCAAAATTGTTTGGTAGTAGCAACAGGCTTATGAAAAATTCTAATTCTTTTTAACAGTTCAAAGTAATGAAAACCAAAACAAATTGGTTTTGATAATTGTTTTGTAAGAAATTATGAAATATTCAACCAAGAACCATTCCACACATATATTCTAAATACATATATAGCTCTTGTAATTGAATGGGATACCAATTAGTAATAGCTCGAACACCATGTTAATATTGGAGAAAAGATTAAAATTTTACCCATATTTTACCATACTGAATTGTCATCTTGATAGTGTAACTTTTTTTTGTAACATCAGACATACATACTTTTTGAAGGACGAGGAGAATCATCCTGATTTGAATCCATTACATATTCAGGAGTAAGACTGTCAAATTCCTCTTTGCTGATGAGATGTAACTTCTTAAAATTTTCAACTTCTTGCTGAAATGTGTAAAACTTTACTATAACAATAAAAATAGCGCACAGGAAAAATGCAAAATAAACAATACATTTAATGCTAATAATATTTATAGAAATATTTATATTTCTACAAAATAAATTTAAAATATGAAATAATTATTCTACCCAGCAACAGAGAACTGAAATACTATGGTGCTCATAATGATTGAAGTTTTCAGTTTTTTCAAATTCATATACTATGCCCTCAATATAAAATCATTCGCATCAATCAAATTACTCAAAATGTAGTATTAAGAGAACACTTAGACAAAGGCCTGACCCTCTTAATTATCCAAGAAAAAAGAAATATTTCATAGCTCTTGTCTCCCATGATCCTCTGAAATAAATATATATTTGGTTAAACAATATTATTGTCAATGAAATAGTAATACATCATTTACATGACTACTTGAAAAAAAAGCTTTACTATGAATATTCAAAGCTGTGTTTTAATTTTCCACTCAGTTTCAAGAAACTAATTTGACTGAGTTTTTATTACTTTGATTTTGAAAGTTTCCTTCCCAATCTTTACTCATGACTAGAATTTGTCAGATTCTTCAAATATATTTTTATCTACTGTGCTGAAGGGTTATGGTATTAGCAGCCATATTTATTAAATTACATTATATTCATCGTTCAAACTCATAATTACCTTCATAGCAATACAATCATTTTCACTTGGCTCCATCCACAAATCCTGTTCATAATAGTATAATCCATCATTAATAACTTTGGCAAGTTCTGATGTAATTTTTGCACGTGACACATGGTTGCCAGTTCTATCTCCTCCAGGATGTTTTCTCATATATGGTGGGGTCTGTGTCACAATCAAAATCTTATTTAAGTCTTGATCATCTATTTCATAATCTGAATCACTTTCTGACCATTCTGTGAATGTATTCTTCCTGCCTTCTATTTGTTCCATCTCTTCATCAAACAAAAAATCAAGTTCTTCTTGTTCTTCAGAAGATGGTGGTGGCGGTTGTTGATTTGTCAATTCTTCACGTCCAGACCCAGATTCCTGAAAATGACAAAAAAATGTTTATTATTCTTGCAAAAATAAAAATATTTACGTGGAGAAATAATAGATCAATTATCAGCTGAAATAGCAATTTTAGTATTCATGCTTAATAAAATAAAACAGAACAAAATGTACAAATTAATGAATTTAATTAATTTAAATATGCCAGTATTGTGGCCAGTAGATTCTAGATATTATTTTCTTCTTTTCCGAAAACTGCATTGACATATGATCCGCAGCTGCCATTTTAATATACATTTGCTTTCCAAGAGGCAAACAGTTGATACGTGTAAACCTAACTGTTGTCCAGAGAAGCAATTAAACACAGTTCTTTCTACCAATCTATTCAAAGAAGAATACCAGCAATGAATGATCAGTTTAACATAAGTGGGTACATATGCATATCATTCATTATGTCATGCTGTATTGAGCCAAGGTGGCGCAGTGGTTAAATGCAGCACTGCAGGCTACTGCTAGATCAGCAGGTCAGCGGTTCAAATCTCACCGGCTCAGGGTTGACTCAGCCTTCCATCCTTCCGAGGTGGGTAAAATGAGGACCCAGATTGTTGGGGGCAATATGCTGACTCTCTGTAAACCGCTTAGAGAGGCCTGAAAGGCCTATGAAGCGGTATATAAGTCTACTGCTATTGCTATTGCTATCAAAACTGATCTTTGCTACTTTTTCTAATTCCCTTATGTAATGTCTTTTTCTTAAATATGGTATCTCAATCTTTCAATGAGACAACCATAATAAGTTAGATGTATAGACAAAATATCATGGATATATTATCTGGGAATCATGTCTAAATATGACCTATTTTCTCTAGACTTGCTCTACATTAACAGGAGGGATTTTTTTTTAAAAAATACAAATATTAAAATTAACATTTTAAGCATTACCTTTGGCTTAACTAAGTTGGGACGATGTCTTTTTTTAACTTCTATCCAAGGTTCAGAATCCAAATCCGGGAGGCTTGTAGATAATGCTTTGGATATTACTTCAAGATTGCTTATGTCAATGCTTTTCTTAGTATTTAGACTTCCTATTCTTGGAGAACTTGGTGCAGACTCTAAAATGGAAAAAATGTTTTTCTGTGCTTTGAAAGATCAGCCCATTTTTTGTTATCAATCAACATACTTCTTAATAAAATTTATATACTTTTTGCTCTTGTGACTATAAATAGTGTAGAAATATCTTAAACCTCAAAGAGATAAGTGATGATTGTATAGATTCAGTTTTAATTTTCTTATATACAACAAATAATGGCACCAAGGATAAAACAAAATGAATATTGATGTTTTCTCCTACTTTATATCTCATAACAGATACAATCCAAACTGACACACTGAATAAAGTCATGCAGATTATATTGTAGCTCGGAGCATGTTTTAAATAGTGTGTTATGGAAATATAAAACCACTAGCCAAATAAACTAGTACTAAGTATATGATATTTGTTCCAGCTAGCTGCAAAAGACACACACAATCTTGGAATTCCTTCTTACCCTATAAGGATCTTGTAAATCATTAATATCGCATCCTGGACCATGTGGACAGAGCCAAATATATGGCATCTTCAATAGCAAAGGTGGAGGTGGGGGGTGTTATGGGGGGTGTTATGGACAGAATTGTAGGTAGGCATAATTAATTTCAATTCTTAAAACCTTGCATTTTGTAAAAATTAATCCCACTTTTGGTACTAGCAATACCCATATTTTGTGTCTTTCCTACAACATGTTGCAAAAAATACTAGTGTACCTGTTAAGACTGTGACAATTGTATATTCCTGACTTAAACCAAACATTTTAAAATACAATACGTTCTATTAAGAACTGCAGTATTAGCTCGTTTGAAAATATTCTTTCTCTCAATTGCCTATTTTTCTAGCACATAAGACAAACCACCTATTGCATTATTCTCAAACTATACAACACTGTCTTTCAAAAATAATGTATGGCCATCAAACATCCAGTGTTCAAAAATCTATAAATTTCCCTCTTTTCACTATTAAATGATTGGAATCTAATATTTTGAAATTTTAATATATATGAATTTTTAAACATCAGATTAAAAGGGTGGGATATAAATAATATTTTCATAAACAACAGACAAAGCAAGGTAGTACCTTGCAGTACCTCAATGATCTTATCTAAAATATGAAGCTAAATAGAGACAGGCCCGAAATACTTGGCTGAGACTACCAGGAAATCTGAAAACTATAGATTAAATTCCAAAATTGAAAAATATCCTCAAATATTGCAATGGCAAACCATTTCATTATTATAGTCAATGTAACGAATGGATGTGTCCTTATAAGTCATTGGGGGCAGAATTTGAGTTAAGGTTTTTATCTAGTAGAAACTAGACAGAAGAGGGTTCAGCAATTTTTTGTCAGTCACAAACAAGGACATTTGGGGATTTTTTTTTCTGCTAGCCTAGGGAGCTTTGGGAGAATGAAGGCTGGAATAGAATTGGGAATTTCTGAAAGGCAATCCATTTCCCTAATAATTCATCCCCAGCCATCACTCTGATGAACCCCTAATTCTTACAATACTGTTTAATGTCTATGTCTAGTTACCCATGTAGTGTAGTTGTGGTATTATTTTTTGTCATTATCTTCTTCACTCCCCCCTTTTATTGGTATTATTATTATGATAATGATGATTCTGTTGCGTTGCATGTACCCTGAATGCTTCTGTATTGGAGACTAATTATTTGTGTGTCAAATCACTCTTGGCCAAAATTCAGTTGAGTTCAGTTTAATTCAATTCGCCCAAACTGGTAGTGGAAATTGTGGGTGGCCTTGCTCACCCACTCTGGCTCTACTGCATCCCATTTAGGCTCTTTTTTCACCAAAAGTGCATGCATGGAAGGCTGTGCTGGTTTTGCTCACATGCATGCTAACACTCACATTTGCGAACCGGTAGGGAAGATAAGTGAATACCACCCCTGATACTATGCAATATTACTTGGAAAACAGCTAAAAAGGAATATGAGGCAGATATTCAAAATTTTCCAACAATGATCTTTTCTGGGTGAGCTCCTGTCCTCATCCCAGCTCCTGTCAACCTAGCAGTTTGAAAACATACAAATGCAAGTAGACAAATAGATATCACTTTATTGGGAACATAACAGCACTCCGTGATATCATTCTGGCTACATCACCAGAAATGTCTTCAAACAGCACTGGCTCAATGGCCTTGAAATGGAGATGAGGACCACTCTCTATAGTCGGCAATGACTAGCAGAGTAAAATCCACAAGGATACCGTTACAAAGACAAGGAGACTGAAAGCACTGAGGTGCCATTATTAAAATGATCATGAGATGACTGTTTTTGAGACCTTAATGCCCAATACAATTTAGCTTTTCCTACTTGAGCTGTTGCTAAAACCAACAGTCCATCCCACAAGGAGAGTTTCATATATTAGAATCTAGGGATGCATCATGAAAACAGCATCTCTCTGCTACTGATCCCTTCTTATTTTACTTCATCCCTTATTATATTATTAGGATTTTTTGTTATTCTTTCTGGATGGGTTGTTTTTTTATACAAGAGGTTGTTTTTATGATGTGTCTGATTGCTAACTACTCAGTGTCTTTAAAAGTAGGTGGCGTACAAACAAATAATTAAGTTTATAGTTATGCTCAGAAACTAACATGTGGAAAGACTTGCTCTAGCTGGAGCAATTCCTTTAGTCTGATCTATGAAGAAGAACTCTAGTGTTTTCTTCCTTTTTTGCTAACCTAACTCTGCCCAAAAGCTCATACAATAACTCCCTGTATATCACCCAATACTTAAAAAGGCCTTAAGGGTCATCAATCAAAACTCCATAGAGACAATTTGAAAGTATGTTTATTTTTCTCTTAAAGTCATTTGCATAAAGGAAAGTTTTTAGAAAGCTGGAAATTTTGATTGTTCTGATTGATACCATGGCCTCTTTTATATAGACATTGCTGCTTAAAGATAAAGGGCAAGAAAATATAGCTTACAAGTTTAGTTATATTTTCCATTTTCTATTTCTTCAAGAATAGAAGTAGGGGAAAAAATTAATGGAAGTAAATTGAAAATCGAAGCAGTAATGGTCAATAGTAGTTTATAAATTTTCTGTCAGCCTCCGCTTTGCTGCTGCTTCGGCTGCCATTGAAACGGGGAGGGGGGGCATGGTATTTGGNAATCAGTGGAACAGCTTGTCTCCAGAAGTTGTGAATGCCCCAACACTGGAAGTCTTTAAGAAGATGTTGGATAGCCATTTGTCTGAAATGGTATAAGTTTTCCTGCCTAGGCAGGGGGTTGGACTAGAAGATCTCCAAGGTCCCTTCCAACTCTGCTATTGTATTGTAAAACCCTAAGCCCATTTCAATTTGTTATTTATTTTTACAGTTTTTAAAACTAATTCATATAACAAGCCATGAGTTGGCATTACGTTATAAGCAACCCATGTAACTATGGCTAGTTTTGCAATTTAGTATGTTCAATACCATTCTTTCTTAATAATTTTCTATTTCCATACTTCGAGGATTTCCTCTTCCACGTCCTCTTCCTCTTCCCCTGCCTCTCCCTCGTCCTCTGTAAAATCCTCTAACGCTGCCACCTTCACTTCTCACACTCGAAACTTCATCATGATCTTCTCGCTTTTCCCGATCCCTTCGCCAGCCTTTTGGAAACAGAAGAATAAAGTTCTGCAGTTACACAACTGAAGTTTCCATAGACAGACATCAATGACATATGCAAGATAAACCACCAGAATTTTAAGTGACATACTAGTTCTTGCCTCATTGCGTCTGTTGTTGTGAGGCACAAGCTTGCTGGTTTCTGGCTGGGACCTTGAACTGTTCTGAGATCCTGGCCTTTCTTGGTTATCTGGCTTCATATCATCTAAATGAAGTGGTACCCATTTATGCTTATTACCTTTAAATATAAAATATAAAAGTATAATAGATCTAATACAATCATTTCTAAAATATTAGTTACAATTAAATTCTAATATATACACAGAGAGGACATGTAGCAATATTCTCAAAATATTTACATTTACTATACTTAAAAACTATAGATAAAATTTAGTCCAGACTAACCTTTTTTCTTTTGATTGTTAATTGGACAGTCATCTTCACTAACAATTTCTCCATGAATTTCTAGATTTATCTCCACATTTTCCTTTATTTTATTGGTATTTTTCTTTTCATTTTTTTCTTCTTTCTCTTTTTTAATTGGAGCTTTTTTATTCTGATTACTTACATTTTTACACTGTAACAAAATATTAAAGAATGTAAGAATTCAATTTTAAGCATATTCATATAATTGAGGCCTTTTAAAATTAATATTTTTAATAAAATCCTATTTTCTTCCATCTTTGTGTCCCTTATTAATCAAATGACCTTATTTCCCTTATTTACCAAAGGTAATTTCCACAGAGTACCAATTATTATTTCTTCAAATCTGCTTCAAATATGTTCTATGAACAGTATTTTAATTTTCTTTGCAGATACTAGTTGGAATAAGATCCATTTTTTTCTTTACATATGGGAACAAGATCCAAAGAGACACTTGTAGGGTCTTGCATTTTCTAAACTAATAATTTCTTACCCATTTATGTTCACTTCTAAAACAGACGCTTGAGCTATCTTGCTAAGAAAATGCCAGTGACCAAGGTCAGCAATAGAGACTAGCTACAAAATGATTACAGAAAACACTAATTTTTGTAAGTTTTAATTGTCCTTGTTAAGCATGGTTGAAGCTTCATCAGTTATCTTCAAGCATACCAATTCTTTTATTTTTATTTATTTATTTAAAAAAATTATACAGCCACCCCATCTTATAACCAATTCTGGGTGGCTTCCAATCAAAAATAAATATGATTTTTTCTTTCAAATATACTTTCACAATAAATACATCATATGGCTAATGACAACAAAGTATACTATAGGGAAAAAGAAAAGTTATCAGTATGTAAGTGTTATTGTTGCCATTTAAGATTTTAAAAAATAAATAGTAGTTTTCCACAAAGTGAAAGAACTAAATGTTCTGTGATTAACTAAAGAAATAAAACTATGAATATTCTAGACAGGAAAGATTACCAGTAGATTGTTATGAGCATCAAAAAGTATATATTCACACTTTTCTAGAAGTGTAGACAAACAACTCCTTCTACAATGACATAGAAAACTAAAGCTCTGGTGCATTTCCCCCCCCCCCCAAAAAAAAACCCTTACCCCAGAGCTTGCAATTTCACTTGGTGTTGGCCAGTTTGTTGCATCATTGAAATAATCTCCCTGCAGCAATAAAAAACAGNGCCGGCAAAGCCAAGCCTTTCAGCCCCAGAAGAGGGCTGACATTTTCATTTTCATAAAAATAGGATATCTGGGTCTTTAAATATACAGCGCCTTAAAATACAATTTGAATTAAAAACATCTTACCTGTATGTGAACCAAAAATCTGCCCTGGTATGAACTCTGGACAGTTAATAAGCTGAGAAAAATCTGTGTGTGGAAGACTACGTGGAGAGGGACCTGGAATTGGCCATTTTTCTGGTTCTATCCTTTTCCTCATCTTCTGATCTACTATTTCTATTTCAGTACTGTCCTTTAAGGCCTGTATTATACAAATACACATATTAATTAACCTGCATGTAAATAAAAAGCAGTTGTGCTTAACACTAGGACCTTACCTTTGATACATAAAAATTACAAAATACAAGTTACTTAACTTCTGTTTTGATAAATATTAATGAAGCCAACAATGACCTTTGCATGATGGTTTGTTTTGTTTTCACTTCTCAAGATGGCCTGATTTTCTGAATTTTGCAAAAATATGTTAAATTTCCATTTGGAAACAGCTGACTTTTCCCTGAACTGTAAACAATATTTGATGGGAAATTCTTTTTTAAATGAAATATGTAATGGTCTCAGTCCTGGTTTCTACAAGTAATCTTTGATAATACCTGTGTATAAGTATATATGAGTTATGACAGCTGTTCCACCTTTCTTCTCAAGAAGTTTCTTTCCAGGTTTTCTACACTAAAATAATACTTGCTAAAAAGAGTTAAAATGTTTAGCTTTCACTTAACACAAAATATAAGTTATGTGAGTAATATATGAGTTATGATAGAAATTGGGGCTGGGATTGCCATCACTAAGTTATATGATTGTAAAGCATGTCAAGTGACTACATTGCTTAGCAATAGCAATGAAGGCAGTCCTGGTTGCTGTCGTTACCCAAGATCTGCAGGTTGTTAAATGGGAAGCCCAAAGAAGAACTTGGGTGCATGCATGTGAGCACGGGGAGGCCCAGAGAAGGAGACGTGTATGCGTATGAGTGCAGGAAAGAAGCAATTGGGTGCACACATATAAACACAGGGAAATACAGAGAAGAATGACTTAGGTGTAGTGTGAGGAGGGATGGCATGGTGCATGGGAAGATCAGAATAGGGACTTAATTGAGTGAGTTGTGATCTTTCCTGCCGGCTTCCTGCTGGTTATCGTTTCCACTGATTTTGCTTGTGGGAAATTGGCAGGCAAGGTCATCAATGGTGATCAAGTAACTGTGGAATTTTGCAATCATCCTAAGTGAGAGCTGGTTGCCAAATGCCTAAATTGTAATATAATTGTTGGAGCACTGCAAAGGTTTGAACTTTGAGGACCAGTTGTTATGTCAGTCCATGTTCAGCACCATCACAACTTTGAATGGATGCTACATGAGTAGTCAGTAAACAAGAGCTACCTGACAATGAAAATTATGATCTTCTATAATAAGCAATCAATATATTTAAATAGTATTCTATTTTTTTATTATTTTACCTTATATGTTGGAAAAGTTAGGCTGGAATTTTCTTTACTTAGGCCAGATTTATTTTTATTTTTTAAATTTGTTTTTAAATTTATATGCCATCCATCTCACTCATATAATTTTTATAAAAATATAAAGTGTAAATTCATTGTTTATTAAAAAAACAATTGTTTTAATCTTTAATTCAATCCATCTATTTTAAATGCAAATTGAAATTCCAGAAAGTGTCCAAATAAAAAAAAATGTCAAAATGTTTTTAAAGGTGCAAATGTAATATACATTTGTTACTATTTAGAAATAATGATTTACCTCTAATATTAAGTTTACATTTGTAGTGAGAGCTTGCACACGATGGAAGCTTGCAATCAAAGATATAGGCAAGAATCCTTGCTGGTCCATCTTCCTTCTCAAGAAGAAGTCTCTTTCCAGGTTTTCTACACTAAAATAATACTCACTAAAAACAATTAAAATGTTTAGGTTAACACAAAATAAGTTTGGGGAGCCCTTGTCCTCTGAAAACTGATTAAATTGACTTTCTTCAGTATCAGTTTTTGATGTAATTGAGCATTTAGATTTTTATTCTACTTTTATTTGTATATTATTGAATTATAACTATGCATAAAAATATTCAATTTGTTTTGCAGTTCAAATACAATATAGTAACTAACCATCAAAACCTCTTTAGAAAAATGTCTTATATAATGACAATTTCAAATTACAGTGTCATAGATATGTAAATTTGTCAGACTATAATGCATAAGGTAAAACATACTAAAAAAAATTGTAGCATGAAGAGTATCACGTCTCATTTTTCTTAAAAATTAACAGTGAAAATGCTTAATGTGAGTAAAAGAACAAACACTGATTTCCAACCAATGCCACTGATACATTAAAAAGCTAAGGTTTTCAAAGACAGTTTATTTAAAGTTTGGCTTCCTCACTCCTCTGTAGCACATACATTAAGCAATCTACTTACATTTGGCGTTTAATGTATTCTTTAAGCAATGTTTCATCCACAGAATACATCTGCACTCCTGTTCCATCATCATAATAATACATCATATTAGTGCTAAGATCTGGCTGAAATGGCTGATCAGTCCTTTCACTATATTGTTCTCGGTAGCCATACAAATAGTCATGGTTCACTTCAAAATTAGCAGAAGAGAAAAGTAGATTAAGTAAATGTACTCTTGAAAGCTTTAATTGATTCAATGGGTGAAAGGAATCACAGAATATTTGTACTAATGTAAATATTCTTTCTTTTTCTGTTGCTAAGTGTTAACCCTGACATAATGTCATTGTCAACATAATCAATACATACATCTCCAACTATTCCTCTTATTCTCAGAGGGTAAGGATTCTTTTACTAACTTCCTTAAATGTATATTATTCAATTCAGTTTCATGGCTTGGCTTATAGTAGAATAAAGTTCATATGGCTATTTAACTGGTGGTGGTGGTAGGGAATCAAGATTTCTGAGCATAGAAAAAGTGGGACATTGAATACTTTTGTATATCAATAATAATTTCTAATTTTGTTTTATTATAATATTTAAGTCTGAATGTCATTACAAAAACTCAGGAGGATAGGAGCAATATGAATCTCTGGGGGATATCATTTTATACCCAACTCTTCATTCCTAAAGACATTTTACATACTATTATTAGTCTAGTATCCATAAGTTTTAACTGATTTACTGTTGATATGTTCTTGGCTTTTATATCTCTTTCCTCAAATGAAATGTTACAAAGTCTTCTTCAGAGTCTGGGCAAAAGTACAAGGTTGCAAATTAGATATTCTGAAGGAAAAATTACATTCTTGAGATATTAGAATCAATTCTCTTAAATCACACTTGCAAATGTTCAATTTCCTATAATGTCCTATTAAGCAATAGATTATAATTGCTTGTTACGCGAGCCAGGCACTCTGTCTGTTCACAAATTAAAACAAGAAAGATTCTGGAAAAGATAATCAAGCAACAAATTAGCGAACACTTAGAAGTAAACAAAGTACCGTATTTTCACGACTATAAGCCGCACTGAAAATCCTAAAATTTGATCCAAAACCGGCAGTGCGGCTTATAG